TATCAGTAAAATCCTTATACTTGTTAAATTTAAAAAATAATCCTAATATTATTAAGAATATCAAATTCCTTTATTTTTTCTAATTATTTGTATTGAAACTAAATAAAATAATAACACTGCAAAAGAAATATTCATTGAAAAAGTATTTGTCCTATGAAATTTTTTAAGTAGCATTGATTAAAATAAAAACAATCGAAATTAAATATAGCCATTATAAACTGTCAAATAAATAGTAAAAACATTGGAAATAGCGAAAATTATATTCATTTATATTACCCAATATAATAATATTTAAACCATTAATTAAGTTTTTTTTGAATAATTGACTGTAATTAAAAATTCAATTACTTTTGCAAATGGGTATTTCTATAAAATTGAATACAATCGGATTTCATTCTGAACTCTTTTTATTATGACTTTTGTAGAATTTCTGCCTAATTTGATATATTTAAAATAATGATTTTGCATTTTCGTTTTCATAATCAAGAGAATTCTAAATAATATCATTTATTTATTTAGAAAATGAACAATAATTTAATAGAAGCTAATCAACATTTGCGTCTATTAAAGGAAAAAAGATTTACCAAAGCTTAATCCTAAAATTAAAATAATTGGATAAAGTAATTAAAATTAGTATCAAAACCTTATACAAGTAAATAATAAAAAATATATTATAACCCTTCTATGAGCAAAAAAATGATTACAATTCAGGTTTTCAAGTTCTTTTAGAGTAAATTCAAGATGGAAGCAAAATAAAAAGTGTTTCAGAATATAGATAACCAATAGAGGGAATTTAAAATTATCGATTTAACTTCTCAGATTAAAATAGTAAATTTTATCAATAAATAATAACTTGTAATTTTAATAATAATTAAAATAATCCAAATTATAAAACTACTTATTTTAGATAACAGAGCAAAATAGTAGAAAATTTAGACTCACAACGAAACAAAGAATCATAAGTTTAGAGCTAAAAGAATATTTTTTCATTGTTATAGGAATCGAACCTCAAGCTATCTTTTGGATGTTTGAAAATGTTTTTGACTTTTAAAAATAAATGATTAATTTTCAAAATATAAAATGGGTTAAAATTGATAATTATAGAAAAAAAACAAAGAAAAAATGAAATACTTATTTTTTATTTTATTCAATAAATCAATTTTTTCATTATGCATTTGTAAAATCTATTTCACCGCTAAATTCAAATTCAAGCTAAATATCTACATTTTATTTAATTCACCCTCATTTTCGCTATCTTTTTTCATTAAACTCCATACTCCTGTTTTTTACCCATTTTTATATTCTCCTCTTATGATGATATCCCTATCGAAGACTTATATAATTACATTTTAAATCTATCTTACAATTCATCCCATATACCAACTTTTATTCCAGCTTAATCAAATTAGCCCCAATTCCTATGCAATTTATATTCATTTTTAATTTAATATCTTACCTCTATTTAATTGGTTTAGAATTATTCTCCCTATACAGTATTTTCCAAAGGCCAATCTTGACCCCATTTTTATATTCACCAAGATATGTTACTTTATAGGTTATCCTTTTTAATTTTAATAATAATAAATCTTACATATCGTAATTATAATCCAAATCTAACCATTTACCATTCTTTTCTCCATTTTAATCATAATTACCACCTCCACTATTTTTAAATAGTTTATTTTAATTTTACATTTTATTTTGAAATTTGAAATCTTCTTAATCATATCTGCATTCACTCATCTCTATGATATCCCATTAACCAATTCTTCTCCCATTTTAGTATTTACCTTAAAAAATCAAATAATATTGACTAAAAGATTAATTTAAACTCATAAAATGTAATACCTATCATAATAATCATAGAATTCTATCCATTAACCTTCTTTTCTACCATTTTCATTAAAATAGCCACCCCCACTACATTGAAATAATTTAATATAATCTTACTTAATTGATGATATTACCCAATTACCTTATTTTTTATCCTTTTTATATTCACCTTTATAAACGATTGAAACATTTCTTATATTTTAATTGTTAAATATTTACCTACTCAATTAATCTTCTAATTCTTCCCAAATACCGTCTTTCTTTCCATTAAGATCATATAGTCCTCCTCCACTATTATGATATTAATAGATTAATACATATTTTTAAACTGATTTTTAACCTCCTTCCTATACATAGTGTTCCATATACCAGTCTTTTACCCATTTTAATATTCTCCTTAATAAATGAGTTAAAAATCTCTATTTAAATTGATAATTTTTAATACCTATTAAATACTTCACTTAATTCTATCCAACTTCCTACTTTCATTCCTTTCTAATCAAAAGATCCACCTCCACTGTAATAAATATTTAATAAATAATAACGTCTAACTATATTTATCTCCACCATATTCTCTAAAGTTTGTTTGCCAACTACCAATTTTTAAGTCATTCTGATATTCACCACTGAAGGTAATTTATACATAACTTTTTAAATTCTGAAATAAAGGAATATACCTTTGAAAACAATTATACGGCTCTATCCATTTACTCTATTTCATTCCATTTTCATCATAATATCCTCCACCACTTAATTTTATTTTTATACATTACATTATTTCAAATTTTGATTCATCTCCAACTCTATACATTGTTTCCCATTTGCCTTATTTTTTTCCAAGTTTATATAAACCCTTATATACAACTTAACTCAAACTATTAATTTAAATTAGATAATTAGAACTTGCTAAAATATTCACTCAATTCTATCCAATCTCCGTCCTTCAAATTTTCATTGAATGATCCTCCTCCTCTAAATGAATATATCAATAGTCTTTTTTACATTTTTGTAAATGAATCAACACTTCTTCCCCTATAAAATGTTTACCATAAACCAAGCTTTTTATCATCTTAATAATCACCTTTTTAAAAGATTTAACTAAAGCTATTGTTTATAATTAATTGACATTAAAAAACCTTGAAAAATTCTAGCTTAATTCAATCCAACTTCCATTTTTCAATCCATTTTCTTTATAAAATCCTCCACCACTAGTTTTAATATTTTTTATACATCTTCTATTTTTCAAATACAAAATCCCATTATCCTATTCTAATTCCATTCCGATATTCTCCTATTTCAAACACTTCTGCATTGCTTTTTTAAAATAATAATAAATAACATTACTCCCAAAAGTTCTTAAACATTTCCTTCCATACACCAAACTTTAATCCATTCTCAGAATAAAATCCTCCAACTCCAAAGTAATCGTCTTTCCAAAGAGCAACCCATTTTCCATTTTTCTTTTAATTTTGGTTCCAATCTCCTTTCCAATTTAGATACATAATTTATTCAAAATTCATCATCATTTCGAATGGCTCACAGTAATCACTTAAATTATTATTAATTTAAATACCATCTAAGAATTCTTCCATCTAATATATAAACAATTTTCTTATTATCATTATCAAATATAAATTGAAACTTCTTTTTGATTAACATCTTATCGTGATTCTTATTTGGTGTAAAGCCTTCACACTCTTATATTTTTTCAGTATGGATAACTTATTCAGATAAAATACTTGTAAAATCCTGGTTAGAGATCATTGTATATTATATTATTGATTATAATTTAAAAATACAAATTAATCCCGTTTTGATAATTATATTCTAAACTTAAAATATTATTTCAATTCAATTAATTAAGATAAATGAAGTGAATTTATTGCTGTAATTTAGGGTGTTATTTAAAATTATTAACATGTGTTTTGCTACTGTAAGAATTAAAAATTAAAATAAATTATTTTAATAAAAAATAAAATTTTTGATAAAAATTTACTTTTTTTTGTAAATTATTTGGTCATAATGAAATAAAAATGCATTGACTTCTGTTCTAGCTATTAACTCAAATTTCTTAATTGGTACAGAAAAATTAAGTTTATAAATATCAAAAACACTTAATTTCCTTTATAAATCTTATATATAATTTTACATTTGAAATTAATCTCTTACAATTTTTATTGTGTTTTTTTGATTATTTTTGGATGAATTTTAATATATCCAATCAACTTAGTTTTATTTAATTAAGTTATCCCATAAACTCTATTCTAACCCTCCTCGAAGTTAGAAATTTAACCTCTCATTGTCTATATTCTTAAACATATATCAAGTAATTTCTATGACAAAAACTTTTTTTTCGACTATTTTCTGATTTCCATTAAAGATTATTAACAAGCCTGAGATTAGCTAATAGTTGTTGAATTTCAACTTAGATAAAGGTTCATATAATAATATTATAAAAATAATTCTATCTTAGGAGTATTTTATCTTTCGAAAAAGATTGATTATCTTTTTTGAATATGATCTGAATAAGAAGTTTAAAAATTAATTCCTTTTCAATGACTGATCCTAATAAAATTGGCTCATCTTAAGTTTATAATTCTATTATGAAATATAATTAAAGATCTTTGGATTTTTAAATATAATTGTTTTTTTTTCATGTCACTAGATTTACAATTTACAAATTTGGCCTTTTTCTTAAATTTTTATTTATTTAAACAACTATAATTAGAATTATTTTTTCCACTAGATACTGAGATATTTCTTATTTCTTAAATTGTTTCTTGTTTCATAATTAGGATGCTTTATCTTTCAATTATATTTAAAAGCTTAGCTTTATCCTCTTTATTGCAAAAAAATTTTATTCAATTGCCTATGATTCTTAAATAGAAAGCAGTTGTTTATCTACATTTATGTAAGTTTATTCTAATTTTAGAAATTCTTCTGAATTATTTTATTAAAATTATTAAGTAATTCTTAAAATATTGATATATCGAAACTAAAAAGATTTTTTTTTTTAATCAGAAAAAATATTGGGCTAAAATCAAATTTACTTCTTCAAAAGTAATTTCTAAAAATTCTTTGAATCAATAATTATCAATTTCAATTAAATTTTGAATAGGATATTTAAGAAAACATAGAATTAATTCTTCTTCGGAATGGGAAATGAGAAATATTTAATTTAATTATTGTGATATTTTTCTTGAATTAGTGATAATAGATAATTGATTTCTTAATCGTTAAAAATTGTACTAGATTAATCAGTTAAAACATGTAGTTTGCTAGACATTTTTTAAGAATTTATAGAGCATTAATTAGAATACCAAAAGAGTTCCAATTTGTGGGATGCAATTGTAGAGTTAGAATAGAGATTTAAATGTTGTGATACTGAGTGAAGGAACACAAACTTAGAGTTAAAAATTAGGAGAAGGTAAACTGAGATAAGGACAAGATTATTTATTATAAATGAAATTATTAAAAATTCGAAGAACAAAAGATTTATTAAAAATATATCTATAAAAAATAACAGTAGAATAAATTGCATGTTGGTTTTTATTCGACCAATAGAAATATGTTAAAGAAAAAATTAAACTTATCTATCAATATTTTTAAAATTCCTGTATAGATTTTCTTCAACCTTACGTTATAATATCATTTATTATAAAGTTCGCTTGTATAAGAATATAGTATATTATATATAATTAATCTATTTTAATACTTCTTTCACTTTAAATGGCATTTTAAATAATTAAAAGCATGCTTTCTATTATTAAATTTTGTGAAAATTATTTGATACCAAATATAAAGTGGCAGTAATAGCTTAAAAAGGAATTCTAAATAAGAGTATATGTTAGCCTTAATATCTAAATTAAATAATATTATTGATTTTCGGAGTGAGATGATTAATGTTTCTGATTAATTAATTTAATCTAAAAGATATCTCAAATATTCAAATCTACTGATGTTTCATGAAATTAAATCATGAACCTTTTCATATTACAACATAATCTCCTATTGTTGTGAGATAAAGTGAATTATTTGGGTATAATTCTAATGCTGATAAACAATCCCTTAAAGATTTTTCCTTTTCATTCTCCAATATAATAGACCTATATTCTAAAAAGTATCAATTACCTCTATTTAGATATGTTCTTGAATCTTCTGGATATATATCAATTATTTTATTATAATCTAAAAGTGCTTGGTCTATCAAATATTCCTATAAAAAAAGAGCTATATATTATAAAATTATCTAAAACCTCTATTTAAATATGAACTTGTATAATCTGAATTTATTTTAATTGCCTTATCATAATCCTATAAAGCTTTTTCTATCCTGAGATATTGCATAATAAAACACCTTTATTTAATATTTTAATCAAATTACCTCTATTTAAATATGTAGTAGCATTTTTTTGGATTTAATTCTATTTTATTATTATAATCTAATAATGTCTATTGCCATTCTTTCATATCCTTTAATAAGACTTCCTATCATTATGTGTTTAATAACCTCTATTAATATATAAATTTGCATTTTCCTGATTAATTTCGATTGCTTTATTCTAATCTTTAAGTGCTTCTTCTTGTAATTATTTTTCTTTAAATAAAAGAGCTACTTTTCTATTGCTATTTAAATAAGCTTTTACATATTGCTTATCTAAGTCTATTGTTTTTAATACAATTCTAATGCTTCATCAAATTTTCCACTATCTCTCATTAAAGATTCTTAATAATAGAAATGTTTTAATAATCTTTTTACTATAATCTAAAGTAACTCAGAATTAAGTTTTATAGCTTTATTACAATTATCTAAGCCTGAATAAAGCATTCATACCTCTATGATAATAACTAGAAACTTAATTCGGGTTAAGGAATATTGCTTTATTCATATCTTTCAAGACAATTGTGTTTATCATATTTTTAAAATTATATTAATCCTAAGTATTTATATAAATTAAACCTTTCATTTGTTAGGCATCTGCATATTTTGGATCAATCTTTAATGCTTTATTAATCTCTTTCATATACTTATCTATTTAATTATTGTAAATCAAACTCTGAATTATTAATATAATCAGCACTTTACCTAACTGTATAAATATTGTTGAAGGGCTAGTTGATCTAATCGATTTGCTCACTATTTTTTTTAATTTTTTATAATATCCATTTTTTAATATTTCATTCTTATTATCTCCTTATACCAAAATAATTTAAAAGGGAGTAATTAAAATGGAAATCATCACTAAACCAAGGTTTTCAATATTCTTACACAAATTATTACAATTTGATTGATGACATCATATAGAAATGAATTCTCAAATTAAATTGTTAGTATTTTAATTTAAATATAGAAATCTCATTAATATAAATAGAATTTATATTAAGTTTGTAAAATTATGTTTTAATTTAATAAAATAAAGTATGCATTATGATATTCTGCCTATTTATTTATGAGTTTAATCTCCTTTTATAATAATATCATTACGATTACATTCAAAAATGACATAAAATTATGAAAAAAGTAAAAGATTAATAAAAAATAAAATATTTTAAATTATATATTATAGCTTATTCAAGTCAAAGTTTTTGATTAATTTAAAATATAAGATTATATATTTATTTTATGCCCTAAGAGTTCCTTTTAATTTTATAACTAAAAATTTATTGTAATTTAACTAAAATATAAAAAATTTTATTTGAATGAAATTTAGCTATTAAAATGATGTAAAATACAACTACAAATTATTTGAAAGTTAAATTAATCAGAATTAATGGTGCGGAGCCGTGGCAATTAATTAAAAAAATAATTTTGTATTATTAGACTATAATATGCTATAAGAAGATTCGCATTTAAAAATGGAGTTCTTCATAAAGCAAATTTTATCATAAACCATTCGGATGATGTGCCTTCTTTTTAAATATACTAACCAAATAATCACATATTATATCAGGATCTAATAATGCAAAAATTGTGATTGCAGATACTAATTTGATGGCTAATCCAAAGTATTTTTTTTTTGAAAAAATTAAAAGGACACACTGATCGCATTCATTGGATAGTAATTTCTCCTGTTAATGTATCAAGTAGTAAGGATTGCACAATCAAGTTCTGGAATATTTCAAATTATAAATTAAAGAATTATTGTTATTAGACTTTTAAAGCTCATAAAAAGCCAGTTTTAAAATTATCAATGAATAAATAAGGTAATTAACTATTATCTCTTGGAATTGATAAAATAATTTTAATAATGATACAACAAGAATCGTTTTGGATTATATAATAGAAGATATTACTAGATTAAGAAGGACCAAAGGTTTATTTTTTAACAGATGAAATATTCATTTTTTAACTTAAGTATTTTTTCCCAATCAATAAAAAACTTTAAATATTTTAATCTTCATGTTATATTAATTAAAAAAGGATATAATTATTAGTGATTGATTTTCAAGTTGCATTGGTTCATTTCCTTGTTTTTATAATGATTTAAGCTCACTTCTTATTCTTCAAAATGGATGTTCTCTTAAGATGATCAGATTTAACAATATTGAACAAGCAGAATTTAAAATAGAATAATTTATTCCTATAAATAAACAAGAATAAATTAGTCCATTAAGTTACATTTGTGCAATAATAAGTGATGATTGGAAATATTTATTAATTTGGAATAAGAACTCATTTATTTTTTTAAGTAAGAATATGTTATGAATTTATGTGAAATAAAATTTGATCAATATAATTTTCATAATATGCAATTAAAGAATTATTTACTATTAGATATACTATTCAAGTATTTTAATAAAATTATAATAATTTAAAAATAATTTTCTCTAAATCTCTACAAATTTATATTGAAAAATATCCATAATTGTAATCGAATAAATCTAAGCACATCTGAGGAAAAAAAATATTTGATAAAAAATTAGAATAAACCTCCTAATTGTTTAAAAAAATTTCAATTTATTATGTGTAAAATGAAATACAATAAAGGTTGCATGGAAATACGAAAAGTATTTTCCACTAAACTATAAAGGAATTTATAATCTTAACTTATTAGCCAAAGGTACTTTATATTGTTGAACTTTGATAGTATAGATAACGGTTTAATTTCAATATTTTAAGCTTTAAGATTTTTTACTTATTTAATAATTTGTAAAAAAAC